GGAACTGACTTTGTAGACCACTGATCTCAAAGGCTCAGAGACCTGAGAACTGGAATGTGTGAGCTCACCATTCCGTATGCGTGCCTTACCAGGTGTGGTACAAGGGTGTTTATTTGTTTTTGTTTGTCGTCCCCCACCCCCACTCCGAGACAGGATTTTCTCTGTGTAACAGCCCTGGCTATTCTGAAACTCACTTTGTAGACCAGGCTGGCCCCAACTCATAGAGATTCCAGAGATTCTCCTGCCTCTGGCTGGTGATTGAAGGCATGCACCACCATAACCCTGCTGTGTTTTGTTTTTAAATATATATGTGGGGACATCATGTTATTGTTTCTCTAGCTGGAATTCCTGAGTGCAGAATGGTCTGTACCCCCGTGTGGGCATTTGAGTAACTACTGAGCTGTTTCCCACAGCGTGTACCATTTTCTTTACCCACTCACAGTCCGCAGGTTCCATGCCGATGTCTGGTGCCCTCGGTAACCATCCTAATGGGTTCTAAGTGATATCTTGTTGCTTCCGTGGTATTTAGTTCTCCTTTCCCCAGTGATTAAAGATGTTGAATGTACTTGTAGGACCCAGGGCAGCTTGGTGCACACCTGCCAAGATAGTCTGTGTAGACCAGCAGGAAGGCAGGCCTGAGTCTCAGTTTACCCTATGGCAATACATGGTTCCACGAGAGACCACGAACTGAGACCACCCATGCTCCACCCAGGTACAGACCATCCAAAGGAAATTCCTAAAGTTCCAGCCATTGTAAATAGGATCACTTGGTGTCCCTTAGCCCAGCACACACAGTCCCTTTTTCACCAGGGCACCCCTAGGCAAATGTCAGCCAATCAGGGGTCCTGAACCTTAAAAAAAATCCCTCTGTTACTATAAAAACCCCACCCCAGCTGTTCTCAGGGCTCTCCAATTGTGCCAATACCTTGGGCACACTGAGAGTCTGAGTTCAGTTCATGAACTTGTGTAAAAATAAAGGCTCTTTCCTTTTATATATGGGACTCAGTCTCCTTGTTGGTTTTTGGGGGACTCTACGGATCTGGGTATAAAGTGTATTTTTCTTCTTTTGTTATTAGAACTGGCATGTGTCCTTGGCAAAAATTTTATTTTGATTGGGAAGAAAGGGAAGAAGGGAGGGAGGGAGAAAGATGAGAAGGAAGGAAGGAAAAAAGGAAAGGAGGGAGGGAGGGAGGAAGAAGAGAAGGAAGGAAGGGGATGGTACTAGCCTTTAGGGTGACCGTGTTGCTCTCCTTTCCTTGTGTATGTGGGGAGGGTGCATATTTATGTGTGTGTTGGTGCACACGTACATGCATGTAGAGACCTGAAGTCAGCCTCTGGTATTGTCTCTCTGGAGCCTAGCAAACATCATGTTTTTAGACACAGGGTCTCTCACTTGCCAGGTAGACTGGGTCTCAGGGGTCTGACAGTTTCATTGGCACTGGGATTAGAAGTCACCACCATGTCCAGCTTTTTATGTGGCTTTGGTGTATAGAACTCAGGTTTGCAGGTGGCTGGGCAAGCACCTTTCTTACTGAGCTATCTCCCTAGGCCTGAGTGATTAATATTGTAAACAGCCTTGCCGCAAACTTTCTTAGCTCGAATGCCTGCTTTCTGATGGCTGTTGGTCTGAGTGCTCTGCACTGTGTGTGTGTTACTGCTGATCATCAAGTCCTCTCATGGGACCAAGATTCAGTAAGGTTGTTATCCTAAAGCCTGTCATTATCCTCCTGTCCCTCCGAGACATGCGGGGATCTTCTTATCTTCCCCGAGACAGACCCCTGAAGTCATAACAGCTTTCTTCCTAATGGGAATCATGGAGGTGAATGCTAAGGTGGTTCTCTGTGTGCTGATAGCTTTTTTTGCTTCACATTCTGCTTCCTATGAGAGAAAAGGCCATTCCTGGAAATATGGTTGCTTTTGATTGGAGCCCGCGATGGCTCTGAACCCCCTTCAGAGGAGTTCAGAGGTACACCAAATGTGTACTCTCTGAGTGTCTTGTTCTGTTCCTGTTGCTGTGATACAGTCCAGTGAGCAAAACTTGCCTCCAAGTCCATCATGGTGGGGATGTCAAGGTGGCGGAAGCCTAAGCAACCGGTCACATCCCATCCACAACCAGGAACACAGAGCAGTGAATCCTGGCTCACCCTCTCCACTAATACAGTTCAAGATGCCAGCCCAGGGAGGGCTTTCACCCACAGTTAAGATGAGCCTTGCCACACTCCTCAGTGTAATCTAGATAATCCCTCACAGGCTTGGCCAGAGGCCCGTCTCCCAGGTGAATCTAGAAGCCAGCCTCTCACTGAGCTGGAATAATTTGGCTGGCTTAGCCCTCATTTTACGCCTAGAATGTACCATCTGGGTAGTTTGGACCTTTCCAAAGCAAAGCCTCCTACGGAAGGCCTGGTCTTTGCTCTAGCTTTTGCTCAGGCCCGTCCTGTGACTTAACCCGTCATCCTTCATCAACCTCATCAGTAAGGTTAACTGAGGAAGAGGATGGGACTTCCTGTCTGAAGGTTTATGGGTAATCTTGTCAGCAGTTAAGATCAGTCTCTAAAAGGTCCCCTTTTGGCTAAGGCACCCTGCTAACACAGCCAGGGAAAGTCCCCTCAGATCTGAGGTGATAATGGGTGGATTATCAGGAAGTGCTGCTTCATGTACTGGGGGAGGGGAGATGGTGTTCAAAGTGTTAGCCCTCTGAGGGTGGGTGCTCCTTCTTGCTCACATTCAGTCCCCAGGCCTGGGGGCAGCAGGACTCAGTCTATAGAGGGTGATACCATTCCACTGGCCACCATTGTGCCCCCAAGACAAGGATATGTAGCCATCAGATACTTTATTGTCCCCCTGTGGTCATTGTCTGTCTGTTTTGTTTTTGTTTTTTTGTTTTTTGTTTTCTGAGACAGAGTTTCTCTGTGTAACAGTCCTGGCTGTCCAAGGAACTTTGTAGACCAAGCTGGCCTTGAACTCAGAGATCTACCTGCCTCTGCCTCCCGAGTACTGGGACTAAAGGCGTGTTCCACCACCATTCAGTCCTGTTTGTCTTTCTTAATTTCTTCCTCCCTTCCTTCCTCCTTCCTATTTATCTGATTTTTCATGTGTCATGTGCATATAGGGCATATATCTTCACATATGTATGGGCATACATGTATGCAGCGTGCATGTGAAGCCCCAGGGTTGATGTCACTCTCCTTGATTTATTGTGGCAGAGCTTCTCAGTTGAACTCAGAGCTTGCCAATTTATTTAGTCTTAGCTAATCAGCTTCCTTTGTGGCTGTCTCCCAAGTGCTGGGGCTTACAGGTGGGTGCCACACCTACCCAGCTTTGCATGTCTGCTCCTTGTACATGCAAAGAGTATATGGTCTTTACCCACTGAGGCCTCCACTTGTTTTGTTTGTTTGTTTTGTTTTGTTTTTGTGTTTTGTCTGTTTTGAGGAAGGATCTTATGTAGTCTAGGCAAGCCTGGAACCCTTTACGTAGCCAACGATAACCTTGAATTCCTGATCCTCCCACCTCTACCTAACTGGGGATTGAAGCTGTGACTTTACGTGTGTTAGGAAGCATTAAACCAACTGCACTGTGTCCCCAGGCCTGACCATTGTCTTCCTCTGAGTAGGTGCATGCAGGTAGTGCTTGACTTGTGATCCTTTGACCTAAATATTGGAACGTCAGAGTGGCGTGAGAAGTCATGTACCCATACTGTTTTCGGTTTTCAGTGTTGCGTTCAATAGATTACATGAGATACACACTTCGTTGCAAAGTAGGTTTTATGTTAGTTGGGTGGCTGTGATCAACGGTAGGCCAAAATAAACGTTCTGAATATGATTTAAAAAGGCTAAGCTGAAACTACGTTGCTTGGCCGGTTTTAAATGTATTAAACACGATTTTTACTTAATGATATTTTCAGTCTATGAGGGATTTATCATCCCAATGGAAGTAGGAGAGTCTGGATCTTTGTCCCAAGAGTTCTTTAAACAGGACACGGGGGCCCCCTGTGTCAGTTTTCTATCACTGTGACAAAATGTTTGGCGCCATGACTCTAAAGAACACATACCTGGGCATACCCATCAACCCGCCTGCAACCTCTTCTCAGCCCTCCTTGCTGAGAAATCCCAATAGAGATCACAGGCTCTGTCTGTGCTGCTATCAGATGGGAGAGGAACACCTTCACATCAAAACTCTGCCTTTGAATTTTCGGTTTGCCTCAGGACGGCAGTGAAAGTGAAAACCGCAGAGAAGCTGCCAGCCAGCCGGGTGCCTGGGGTTTCCTGTGCAGCAGGCATGCGATCCTGTGAGGTGCAGTTTTTGCTCCAGATAGCTGGTGCAAGAGGTTGGGGTGAAGCTCAGCGATAGAACGAATGCTTAGCGTGCACTCTGGCTCTGATCTCTGGTACCTCCAACATAAAGCTGGAACAAAATGACCCGAGCTGTGCCTCTGGCGTCTTCCCCTCCTCAAAGTCATTTACGCTGCCACGCTGATCGTGAAATCCAGCCATGCTTGAACAACACAGGACCCTCTCCCCTTTTCTCCTTAGCGCTCTCTGAAGACGCTTCCACTTTCTTACCCAGTTCTCGAGCTGTATGCACAGACTTGGCTCCAAGCTCGTCATGACTTTCTATGTTCAAGTTACACATACACAAAGTACAGAGTGGCCCCGGGACTGTGCCCCCGCCCCCTTGGGCTGGCTGACATTTGGTGGCATATCCTTCCATCTCCTCTGTACCTTGCAAAACATGCTTCCTGTTTTGAACGAGGTCTAGAAGGGGACAGCCCTTCCACACCTGTGTCCACGCACTCAGACGCACACTTCCTCCAGTGTATTTGTACAACTTTATGGTGCTTTGCCACATTTCTCTTCTGGGCTCACGGCTCCCAGATTTTAGCCTAAAGCACACGGAGCCAGACGTGAGTGGGTATTTCGTGGAAAGCTACCTCAGTGCAGATGCTGTTCCTGATCGTTGTGTTTGGCTACTACCACATTGCTAACTGTGCTTCTCCTTCACAGCAGAATGGAAGCCAGGGAAGGAAATCAGCTGACTCAGGAGCCGGAGTGAGAGCGGCCCTCGTGCACCCTCCGCCCCAGCCTGCACCATGAACTTGCCTTCACCTTCTGCGCCTTGAGAGCCACGGGAGGCTACCTTGCTAGAGAGAGATGGCTTTCTTTACTCCCTGGAAGTTGTCCTCTCAGAAGCTGGGCTTTTTCCTGGTGACTTTTGGCTTTATATGGGGGATGATGCTTCTGCACTTCACCATCCAGCAGCGAACTCAGCCTGAGAGCAGCTCCATGCTGCGGGAGCAGATCCTGGATCTCAGCAAAAGGTACATTAAAGCGCTGGCCGAAGAAAACAGGAACGTGGTGGATGGCCCATATGCCGGTGTCATGACAGCTTATGGTGAGTGAGGAGACACGGGGATGGCTTGCTCCGTTGGGCGTGCCTCGACTTTGGAGGGATATGTGGTCTTGTTACGGTTTGAGGATTCTCTGTTCTCATGGGCAGTGATCATATTTGGTTTTGCATGTGTATCCTTTTCATCTCTGTATTTATATATGCGAGTGTGGATATGCACGCCAGATGATAATCTCAGGTGTGAGTCCTTACATTTTACCTTGTCTGCACCAAAATCTCTTCTTGGCAGCCAAGATAGCTGCCTCCTGACCCTCGGCGAGATTTACTTGTCTCTGCCTCCCATCTCTGTATAGACACACTGGGATTATACATGCATGCTACTGTATCTAGCTGTATGTGGATTTGGGGGAATCTGAACTCAGGTCTTCATGCTTGTCCAGCAAGCCCTTCTACTGACAGAACCACCTTCCCAGCCTACTGCTGCGCTTTTAGAAAGGTAACACAGTGCTCTTTGGGGGACTCTAAGCTCCCGTAACCCAGACACCCCGTCCCCCCAGGCATGCCGGTCAGCACACTGAGCTCTGTGCATTGTGTCCGTGGTCAGTCCCCAGTCCATCAGCATATTTCTAGACTGTGCTCAGAGGAGTGTGTTCCGGGAATGCAGACAAACATTTTCATTATCTGTCCTTAAACAGAATGTAATTAGATGGGGGGGGGCGGGTGAGGGGGCTGATGTTTTGGATAACATCAAGGTCAGCGTGGAGCTAATAAACTGCCCTGTAGCTTTAATGTTTGATTTTCCAGGCTTTATTGTTGTCTTTGATTTTGCCCATTCTGAAAGAAATCTTCTTGTCCTCATTGGCCATTTTCAGGTGCCTCAAGTTCTTTTTAAAACGACACATGAGGGCTTTCCTAGCATGCTTGGAGCCTCTGGGTTGGATCAGTGCATAGGGGCACATGCCTGAAGATCAGATGCACAGGGCCATCCTCAGCTACGGAGGGCCTTTGTGGCTAGCCTGAGTTACATGAGACTACACACACACATACACACACATACACACACGTATATATATTTAGACATATAAAAATAAAGTATGTATGTGAAATATATCTTATTTTTATGTTAGCAAAAGTTATGCTAAATTTAGAAAAATTGAAGGTATAAACAGAAAAACAAAAGAGGAGAATCACATAAAATTATGCTCTGCAATAAACATAATCAGCGTTTGGTGTATATTCTGATAGATTTTCCATCATCATCACCATGTGTGCATGCCCATCCATTCGTGTATCTGGGCACGCGCACCACTGCACATAGCGGAGGTGAGAGGACAGCCTTTAGGCTGAAGTTGGTTCTCTCCTTCGACCATGTGGGTCCTGAGGATGGAACTCAGGTCATCAGACTTGCATGGTGAGTGTCTTTACTCTCTGAGCCATCTCATCTGACCCTGATGGTGCAAAAATGCGCATACAAACACTTATGAAGTATATCCGTGGCAAATGGACTTTGGGTTGTACTGTCTTGGGAAATTCGTCCTCCCCGGATGCCCTTTGGTCACTGAGGATCCAGAATGATTGGGGTTTCTAGAGGGTGAGTCCTTGTTAGTCATCAAATGGAAAACTGAACCATCCACCACAGACTTGAGTGGGCTCAGTGTTTGGGACTTTGGCTGTAGATGACAACTGTGGTGGTGTAGAAGAGCTGGTGTTTGCTTTGGGGCCCAGTCAAGGATATGACCTTGAGAAATAGCACTCTCGTGATGATTAGTAGCTGTGATTGGGCAGCTGGAATATAGGCTCAGTAAATCACAGGACCCAATAGCTTGGTTCTGTGGTGTGTGTGTGTGTGTGTGTGTGTGTGTGTGTGTGTGTGAAGAGAGGATAACCACAGCTGAGGAGCCCTCCTGTTCTTTCTCAATTCTTAGGGTCAGAATGGTCACACCATCTGCTTGTAATATATCTCTGTGAGCTTTGTCAGCAACAATCTTGGGGAGCGGGTAGCTCAGTTGTTAAAGTGCTTGCCATGCAACCACGAGGACCTGAACTTGATCCCCAGTACCCATGTAAAACGACCAGACATGAACGGCAGCATGCACCTACAATCTCAGCACCAGGGAGGCTTGTTAACCAGCCAGCCTATCAGGAGCTTCAGACTCACTAAGAGATCCTGTCTCAGTGGGGAGAGCGAACTAGGAAGGCATCCAGCATCAACCTCTTGCCTCTGTGTACATGCACACATTCACAAACACCACAGACAGACAGATAGACAGACACACACACGAGAGAGAGAGAGAGAGAGAGAGAGAGAGAGAGAGAGAAGAAATATGAGGTGCCCAACCACACAAGTCATATGACTCATTGACATGACTTATGTCGTCCATCAGTTTCAGAGATCAGTTATTGACAGAGAGAAAAGAATAGCACAGAACATTGGTGTTCCATAAGTGTGATGTGGCCTGTGGTAGATGCTGTCTTAAAGGTTTTAATCCTACATGTACTTTGTGTTCTTCAGGGGCTTCACCCCAGCCCCTGGCATCCATATATCCAAAGAGTCTGGAATGTTTAGGTGGAAGCTTCCACTCCAAGCCCCCTCCCCCATCTCTCTCCAAACCTATCTATCTCGCAGAAAGTACACCAAGTCCCCTCCCTGAGAAATGCTCAAGACCACTCCTACAGGGTACTTAAACTGCCCTCCAGAAAACAGGCTTGTGGTCTTCTTGCCCCAGCTCCTCTCTGGGGAGCTGGAAAATCATCCAGGAGCTTTGTAGCCATTAAACCTGGGCCTTTTCTAATTCGGTTTGATTTGGTCTGATTTGGATTATTGTGGCAGCGGAGAGGCTTATCGGGGTGCAGAAACCTTTCACTTTGTTATGCCCTTGTTGAGAAAGGGCAACGACTTAGCAGTGATTTCCTCTAATCACAGTGTATCAAACTTTTTCCCTGGGTGACACAAAAACATATGAGCTATATATTTATAGACTTGTGATCTTGCTAGTTGTTTCTATTATGTGTTGATAAAAAGCTCAGAGTGCAGACTTCCTGCATATTTTAGAGAAAATACATCTGATCTTAGCTTTTTAGCACATATGCATATGTGTGTGTGTGTGTGTGTGTGTGTGTGTGTATAATATAAAAGTAACCGAGGACTGGGGAGGGAGATAGTTTACAAGAGGACTAAAGGACCTGCATTCAATCACCAGAAACATGAAACAAAATTAGGCATACTTGGTGCACTATTGTAGTCTCAGCACTGGGGAGGCAGAGAAAGCTATATCCCTGGACTCGCTGGCCAGCTGAATTAGCCCACTTGGTGAGCCCCAGAGCAGCAGGAGACCCTATCTTAAACAAAGAACAAACAAGATGGATGGTGTTTTCAAAATAACAGTTCTTCTCTCTCTCTCTCTCTCTCTCTCTCTCTCTCTCTCTCTCTCTCTGAGTCTTCTGTTGGAATTTCAGCCGTGTGTTTCATTGTAGGACGTTGCATATTAAAGCACCTATAAGAATTATTTATTCCAACCCTTTCCCGATGACCGTCAGTGAAGTAATTGTTCTTTCCCCCCATACCAGCAAACAATGAATTGGGAGTCATCAGCGAGTCTAACATGCTTTCCTCCCACCAGGCTGACTTGCCAATCTAAGTGGTCAGTGGGACTGAGTTTCTGGAACTTACCAGAGTGTGTGCGTGCTTGAGCTATGTAAGACCCTCCTGTGGTGAGGTCCACTGAGACAGGGTTTCCTGGTCCTATTGATGTTTTAGGTTAGATAAGTCTGTATTTCAGGAAGATTTACTTACGTAGGGTTTTAGTGTTCTTCTGTCACAGTTACACAGCACTCTGCCCAAAAGCAACTTAGGGAGGGAAAGGATTTGTTTGGCTTACTCTTCCAGACCAGAGTCCATCATTGAGGGAAGTCGAGTCAGGAACCTGGATACAAGAACCATGGAGGAACGCCACTTGCTGGGTCACTCCCAGTCTCCATCCCTGACTCATAGTCTCATGCCTAGATAGCTTAATTATATAGCCTTTGACCTCCTGCTAGGAATAGTAACACCACAGTGGGCTGGGCCTTCCCATATCAATTAAAAAGTCCAACAGTCCCTCACAGACTTGCCCAGAGAGAGAAGTTACTTGACTGAAACTCTTGCCAGGCCACTATAGGCTTTGTTAAGTGGACAGCTAAAATTACTAGCACACGTGGTAAGCTTTTAGCAGGAGATACCAGTAGCCCCTCCCTAGTTGTGACAATCAACAATATCTTCTGGTATGAGATAATAAAGGTGTTCTAACATAGATTACTGCTGTGTGGCTTTCATTTGATTTTGTTTTGGAGTCTGGAGTTTGGTAACCTCACTGTTTCCTTGATTTAGTATTTTGCATGCGAGTAACCAAGTGATGGTGATATTAGCTAGGGTGTGACCTAGTGCTAATCCTGGGAAGCTGGAGAGACATTCTGATGGCCCCACTTCTCCTTTAACTCGCCACCATTGGTAACATTGACAGATAGACAGCTCTGGAGGATCAGGAATTCAAAGTCATCTTTGGCTACAGATGGAATTTTAGAGGCCAGTCTGAGCTACATGAAGTCCTGTTTCAGGCAGGTGCTGAGACTATGGGATGCTGTGTGGCTTAGCTGGGCTATGTGGGTCGTCTCTTGCTTGTCTGCCACAGACACAGCCCATGTCAGTGTACTGCCTAGACATTTGCCCTGGAAGAATGAATAATTGATCCTCTGTGTCCAGGAATGGGTTAGCTTAAAGGGATCCCATTAGTAGATTGAATAAACTTTTTATTTGAGAAGGAACTTGATAGGAGTGAGGGGAGAATGAGAGAGAGAGAGAGACAGAGAGACAGAGACAGAGAGATAGAGACAGAGAGAGAGACAGAGAGAGAATGTATGTGAACATTACCAGAATGCATTATGTACTTGTCTGAGCTTGTCAGAAGAGAGGAAAGAAAGCAACCTCTCCTCCCATTTCCACATTGGATCTTGGTCTACTATAAACAGGTAGAGTTTTCATAGTTGGTTTTAGATCATTCCTGATTCGT